GGACAGAATAGCTCAATACCAAAAGCAATACAGGGAGGACAACAAAGAACAACTGAACGCAAAACGAAACGAAAAACACAACTGCGACTGCGGTGGTAGATACACTCACAATCATAAGGCAGAACATTTCAAATCACAAAGACACCAAAACTACTTAAAACAATTAGAAGAATAAAAATAATATCTTGTTTATTATAATGACCTCTAAACAAGATATTATCAACAGTATCTACTACGACAGAGCAGGTTTTGGGAGTAGAGCTCAAACCTTGAAAGACAGTAGGGAGAAGGACGCTACAATTACAAAAGAGGACGTTGAGGAGTTTTTTAGAAAGAATGTTGAAGAAAAGCGCAAACCGCGTGGCGAGAATAGTTTTGTAGCACCCCACGCGCATTGGGAGTATCAGGTGGATTTATTTTTTATAAGTGAAAATGATTTGGAAAATCAAAGATTTACAATAGGTTTGGTTTTAATTGATATTTTTAGTAAGTATGCTACAGTAATACCTATTGAGAGTAAAGAAGCACCGGATGTGTTAGCGGGAATAATGGAAGGACTACAAAAAATGGGCGATAAACCGAAGATGTTTTACAGTGATGAGGAAGGGAGTTTGTATAGTAAAACGGTTATAGAATATTTAGAAGGTGAGAAAATCGAGATACATAGAACAAGAGGGCATCCAGCGTTTGCGGAACGTTTTATAAGAACATATAAAGATATGTTATTCAAGCGAGTTGAAGCAGATGAGAAGAAAGGAAAGCAACATATACAGTGGATAGATTATAATTTGGAGATATTATTAACATACAATAATAAAATGGTTTCATCTGCTACTAAAATGACCCCATTAGAAGCAAGGAACAAGAAAAATGAATTTGAAGTTAAATTGAATATATCTTTACAGGCAAAACGCAATAGAACATACCCCGAAGTAGATGTAGGCGATAGCATTAAAATAATGCGTAAAAAAGGCATCAGTGAAAAAGAACGCACTTCGCATTGGGTGAAAACTCCCCAAACAGTAAAACGAATAGATAAACAATTAGGTCAAAACTACTATTATTTAGAAGATGAGAATAGGGGATATTTAAGGCATGAGTTGTTAAAGGTGTAAAGGACCTGTCAAAAAATCCAAAGTTCAAAAACATGTTGTATGAAGAACTATAGTGCATTTGTTTTCTTTTGCGTGTTTTGTGTATTTTGCTTGTTTTGTATTGGGTTTTAGCATGTGTTCTAAACAATATTGATTTTATGGGTTTACCTATGCCCTAAACCCATAAAATTATCTACATTGGATGCTGCATTTTGCTTTTGTGTGGTATTTTTACGTGCATGTGATATGACTGCTTCTGAAACAGCAAAAGACACTGAACAACCAGCGGGGGCGCGTTTTGCACACCTTCTGCGTCCAAGTGACGGGAAGTAACACAAAAAAACCTTCCGAAGCAAGTCTTCACCGCAACCACCTGAACCCACACAGTCACGAGACCAAGGCCGCTGGTGCTGCTGATGAAACCTGCCACGTGAGCAAGTCACATGAATGAAGGACGAAACTTCAGCTTGGCATCAACAATCAAGGCCGTTGTCAGTCACACAGTAACAGGTGCACTGTCTTTTCTCGGCGGGCACATATGCGAGCAGAGTCTGTATCTTACTCACTGCTCAGCATCTTACTCACTGCCACGCCATAGTTGCGATGGGCCATCTACGCCTTTGGCACAAAGAACAGGCCTACGCATGTGCCTGTGAAACCGGCCAGAACGGACAACGTCACGAAAACGTCCGTCTTCGTTATGATCTGCCCCTTCAGCTCGGTCAAGTCTTCTCTGCTCTGTTTCATCAGCTCAGCCAAGCTGTCTTTGCTCTGTTTCTTCAGCTCAGCCAAGCTGTCCCGAAGCATCTGGAACTGCAAGTCATTGTTTTTGTTGATACCGCCGAAAAACTCCCTCACAATGGTGGTGACGACCGCTCCCACGAAGGCACCCACGACAAGCTTCCCGTCAACTCCAAGATAATCCAAAAGCTTGGCCTGCTCAGGCTGTACGCTTTCTGACGTGGCTGCCATAGCCTGCTCTGACAACCACACAGGTGCAGCAGCCATGATCGCGGACGTGCTTTTGTCAACGGGCGGGACGAAGGGCGCTTCCCATGCCCCTGCAGCAAAGAGGCATACCACTAACCGCAATCTTGTGCGTCTGTTCATCCTGAGCAAAATGAAAGGATTGCTACTTTTTGAGCATGGCAGCCGCGGACAATGATAGTATTGAGAGCTTTCGGTCCTATCAGCACGGCCGCAGTGTAAATAAACGCCCATGAAAAAGGCTATGCTTGGTAGACGGGCATGTTGCTCCGTGAGTCATCACCACTGCGTGGCAAGTTGAAAACATCTGAAGCATGAGCATAAACACGCCAGGCACACCTCGTCGATAATGTCACACGAGAATGCCGTCATTGGTGTAGGTAGTGTCCGGTGAGAAGGCTTCATAGGGAACAGTTGTGGGTATGTATTGTTTAGGTGCTTTGGGTTTTGGATTGTGTTTTGGATTGTTGTTTGGGGTTGGTAGGTTGCTTTGTTTCGGGATTGTTGTATAGTTTGTTGGGAGGTGCTTTGTGTTTTGAGGGATTTAAGGGTTGAATTGTTAGGCGGTTTGAGAATTGAGGTAAAAGCGTAGGGGGGAGTATAGGATGTGAGGTGTGGGGGAAGGAGGTTGTTTTGATTTTGTTTTGTGTGTTGGTGTTTTTGTTGAGTTGGGAGGTGCTTTGTGTTTTGGTGTTTTGAAGGGTTGAGGTGCGGGGGAAGGAGGTTGTTTTGATTTTGTTTGTGTATTGGGATTTGGTGTTGTGTTGGTAGGTGCTTTGTGTTTTGGGTTGTTCTATTTGTTTTGTTGTGAGTTGAGGAGTGCTTCGTGTTTTGGTGTTTTGAAGGGTTGAGGTGGGAGGCGGGTTGAGAATTGAGCTGAAAGTATAGGGGGGAGTATAGGATGTGAGGTGTGGGGTTAGCACCTGCTTGCTGACAAACCTTCAGTCCCAGAATCGCCACCAGGCTGTCCTCAGCAAGTCCACTCAGATTGTCCTTGCCTCATCCATCGAATCTTGACAGTTCCGAGGCACTAGTTCTTAGATCCGGATTGGCACATGCGCGTAATGACGCGTCGATGAGCACAGCCCTTCGAAGATCTTCGAGAAAACAACACTCGTGCAAACGGCAGTCCAAGTTGAAGAAAGCTCTGACTTTGCTGATTTATGACTGCATGAAATTACTCGCCAAAGGCTGCCTGGATTCACCACAGGTGCTTCGCAGCTGCCGTGCCAGAAGTCCTGTGCGTATGAACTTGGAACAAGAGCGGAACAAGCCTTAGCGTTCTGGATATCAATATGCACGGTCTCCAGCAGAGGCGGTGTCGTCAAGACCTAGAACTTGTTGGCTGCAGGCGGCTGTAGTCAAAGGAGTTCAAGCTCTGGTCACCGCATGACTGGCTCAATGCAGATTGGAGCATGTCTTGCCATTGCAAACCGTTCTCTCAAAAATGTCCTGCACCAGCACAGCGAAGTACCGCAAGTTCCGACGGGCTCAATCTGTGCAAGACATTCCTCCAGATATCTTCCGACAGAAAGGTCAAAAAATCATCGTGGCCATTCTCCACTTGCGAGTGGCCGGTGTTGACACCCGGAGCCTGAGTTGTTCGGTAAGCTCGCAGGGTCCCTACACCTCCCCGCACGCCCCAGCACAAGCTTATGTTATCATGCTGAGGGCAAGCTGCATGGGATTTTGTTGGCTCAAACCACGGTACACAAGGACAGCGGCAAGAGAAAATGGATAGCAGGTTCGGGCAGCACCCCATGTACACAAGCTTTCCATGGCTTTCTCGCTGTTCTGCCTATTTGACTACGGTAGCCGCTCTTGCTCGCATCTCACATTGCTGCAGAGAACATTTCTCTTTTTTATAGAATGCTGCCATCTGCAATACAGCAGGGTCGCTACAGGAAGTTGCATGTCCAGCCAAGAAAGCCAGATGCCACTGAATTGAAACACTTAGTGTAAGAGTGCATGCAGGCGAAAAATGCCAACATGAAGGTTTTCCGCGCGGAGCTCCTGTTGGCACTGTTGGCCTTCTCATAGCTCACCACGCCGCCTCGGCCATGGACGTTTGCAGGGCCTGTCTTTATTTTCTGCAGGTTGAGAGGAGAGGTCGCCACCCCCCCTCATCCGTCCTTCAAGGTGATTACTTGTGGCTATCCGCCTGTCCCGCAGTGCCTGCTCATGACTACTGTACTGCATCCTGTTTGTTCGCGATCCGCGGCCATAGCTGGGTCATGACCACACATCACAGAAGGTGCAAACATCACAAGGCACCAAGCGCCGATGGCATGTCGCACAATTGAAGGGGGCTTCGGATTCAATCAGACGGCAGGCATCTGACAGCTGGCTTGCTCCCACCACTTTGTGCACCAGCCCGCTGAGTGATTAGAGCAAGGTGAGACTTTGCGGAGAGCTCTCCTTATGCATATTCTACGAGTAGCACACTGCGAGCAAGTTCTGGCTCGCTGGATTCTCGACTCTGGCTGAATCATCTAGAGCTTCACTACTAAGGACTTCTGTAAACTTTGGTATGCAACAGGCCGCATTCAACTCGGTCTCGCTGAGAGTTTGAGGTTGTTTGGCCTCCAACCCTGGGTCAGGGTCACGTCATCCACCGTCTAGGCGTGACTTCTGGTCAGTGGCACAACGACACTGCACATCATCAACAGAGTGAGGGGAAGTTACAAAGCCTACATCTTACAGACAAACATGAACATGCGACGGCCGGCCTTTAGGCGACACCGTGCGGAATCCTGCATGCTCTTAGGGCCATCGGCAGTTGCAAGATTCTTGAGAGCTTACCTTGAGGATGAGTCTGGAGGTAATGATTCGGCACCGTTCGGTTAGGAACGCTCAAGGCCTCAAGGGCAACAAAGTGCCAAGTGCCCGGGAAACACGAGCGGGTTCAGAAGGTCAGAATCACTTTCGTATCCACACATCGCCATCGGCCCACATGATTGCCGTCTGTGGCTTCGTCGTCACAGTCGCATAGCGGGTCTCATCTTCCATCTGAACCACCAGAAGGCCAGAAGAACCTGAAAAGAGAGTGAAGATAAGCCGAAGTAGCTCACTGGACTGTGGCAACACGGCTTGGCAGCACGAAGCCGCGTCGAGCTTTACCCCCGCCACCGCATTCGAGTTGTGAATATCTCCCAAAAAAGAAAAGAAACGTTCATGTCAAGCCGCCTTCGGACAAAGGGGACGACACATCGGTCAACCCCCACTGTGGGTTCCAGAACAAACTCGAACCACAGATCTCACCTGAATGCATGCACACAGGGGAGTCTGAGCGGATCTCTACACCACCATAGAACGGCACTTGTGCTGCCAAGAAGCCTACGTGCTTGGAGTCGCATTGCCGATACCAGTTGCCCTGAAGGGACTCAGTCAACGGCTGCTTGTCCAGACTGACGCTGACGAAGGCCACATCCTCTCAGCCGGCTTGCAGAATGTTGCAAAGGCTGTTAAAAAACAACCTTGCAACAGCCTTGCCTTCTTCAGGTTCTTCAAGGCCTCCGGTTTGTCTTCCTCCTCGCTGGCGCAGCAGTGCGTCGCCAGAGCGGTGCCCATGGCTGGAGCTCTCAGAAAGGGACGAAGGGTCGACGAAGCGGTGCTTTGCTTCGTGATACGGATGGGAGGAGGATGGAGGAGGGGGGCCCAGAATGCGGCGGGCTTTGGCCTGTTTTGCCTACAGGAGCAGTGGTCCATTGAAGTGGTGATATAACTGCCTGAGCCAGACTAGGCGGAGTAACTGCACAGGCCCACTGTACCAAACGGCGCGGTAGAAGAAAAACTCAAAGGAAGTCCACACTACCAGAACCGCTAGAAATACCGCGAACACGTTGCACGAGCTGTTGTCAAAGACGACAGTGTAGGCGTCCTGCCCTCCTTTGCCGGGACGCTTCGAGTCGCTCCTTGCCTCGCGACAGCACAACACTACAAAACATGGACTACCGGTGTGCGATGAAATCTAGTCGGGAAACGGGCAACTGTGACATGACTCTGTGCTCAGTGTGCTGCGAGGATGATTTCATCCTCATCCTCGTCGTCCAATTCATCGTACAGCTCCGTTTTTCGGCGCTCTGCATACTGCCTGCGAGAAAGTTCGGGCATTCTCCGGCACTGGACATGAAAGAAAGAGCTCGTTCAGCAAAACGCCGGGCGCACGCTCTCGTCCACTCCACGAAGCGCGGTCCATCTCCGCCAAGCATGGCTTTCATCTTTCGGTACATGACTGGCACGTGAGAGGGAACAGCTCTGCGGAATCTTTAGCGTTTACCACAAGTGGCTGAAGAGGTGGCTTGTGGCGGCAAACAGGCTGGATTCGCATTCGATCTGTCCCTTGTGCTTCTTTCCTTCGAGCATGATTCGCTCGTAGAAACGAGCCACCTGACGTGTCAGCAGCTGCCCCCTTGTCCAACTCCTACCATGCTCTCGGTACATTACTTCGTTGCTCGACAGCTCAGAACGACTGAGGCCGTGGCCGACCTGAGTGCTTTGCTGAGCCCTGTTGGGGACCACCGCAAGACTTCCTGCGCCTGCAGCAAGGCTTTATTATCTCGGAGCTACAGTTCATGAGAACGAACACACAATAGCACAATCCAACAAGCACATTCGGAGGGCACTTCGTCGTAAGATGCTGCTCGAAATGCTCCCCTTTCCCGGCGAGTCCTTTGTCACACTGATTGGGCCACCCAGGTTGTCCGGGTAGAGGACCACAGAACTGGCATTCAGTCTGCGGGGCATTCGTGATGACCCTCCCCCTTCCCTCAGGTGCGACAATGTGCCGGGACGTGCTGATTGCGGGGAGTCTCGATGGTTTCCACGTAAGGCACCCCTGCAGGCCTGATGTAAACTTCCCGGTCAAGGCTGCTCTGAAGCAACATGCTCCTGTTATCTCTGAGGATATAGTCTTTTCAACCTTCCAGATCAGCTGGAGACAGCCAAACACTGTGAGGGTCGCACTCTCCGATGTAGTTGTACCTTCCGGGAATGACGCCACCAATGCTTGATGCCTGCAACTGCACATTCACAGGTTTTACCCGACATGTATCACCTGCACTCTTTGTAGCATGTCATCTCGAGGCGAATCTTGTGAGGGAACTTGGGGCACAATTCTCTCTGCGTCGGCATTTCCTCACAGGCCAAGTTGAAGGCCTCGCAAGCACACCAGGCTCCCAAGAGCAGGAACAAATCGCATCCAGTGGCTTTGCTCTGAGTACTGTCGAGCCCGGCCTCTCCATGCACTTTCTCCGGGCAGCATGTCTCGTTCAGGCCGCGTGCAATTGCACGCACGACAGCCTGAATTGATGATCATCTCGTGCTGCAGTCAAGCAGGAAAGGTCATTGTCATTCCGTTGCAGACTTCTCACTGGTTGTCACAGTGCATGCCAACATTCGGTGCAGCAGCGGCCTCCGCAATGTCCGGAGTGTACGTCATGCTGATACGAGTGCTTACGAGGCTGGTGTCCTCAGTCCCGGTTGGGATGACCAAGAGTGCGAAGTGGAAAAGACGTGTTGGCCAACAAACAATCAATAACTAGAGCTTCCACGGTTGCCACCCAACACACAACAACGCCTTATCAACTGTGGGATGTTGCGGGCTCGAAGCTGCTCTGAGCCTACGACTACATGTAACGGAAGAGTCAACGCCACGCAAGCCTTGACCTCAGCTCGCAAGCGTGGGTAGATGCCAGAATGTTGGCTGAACTTGGTGACATGCCCAGAGGTGCAGCAACCAATAGCGAATGGTATTCTCCTCGCCAGTCGCAATTGCAAGCGGAAGTAGTGCAACCAGATCGGCCGCAAAGCGACAAGAGCTGACATCTGCTGTCCATCCTTGGGCCCGAAGACGTTCCCCAGCCGGAGCGTGACATAAGGAAAGCCACCGGCATTGTACCTGCTATTAACCGGCTGATTTGCACAGAGCAACCAACTCCAGCAGATGCCCAGAAGCAACAAAAAATTCATGTGCGGTGCGTGGGGCACTGCTTTAGGAGCTCTTCTTCGCACTCCAGCTCGTTGTCACCCCGCGTGCTCCGCCCCTCGCAGGAGACCACCGAAACCTTATAGTAGTAACCCTTGGGACACCCTGATAGTACTGCAGTCAGGCTTGGACCACAAGTCAGAAAACACCGGTCTGGGAAAGGCATCGATCCGTCTCAGCTATTGTGCATCTGATGGGAAGGCTCCTGAGCTGGTACATCAAACCCTGCACCCTTGGCCTTCAGGTTCCACCGGTCCAGTGGCGATATCTCGCGACAGCCCAGGTGTTCGAGGCATGTCAGGTTGTCAACCCGAAGTGCACCTCCCGTCCAGGCCGCACGGCGTCGGACTCTAAGAGAAACGGCTCCTGGTGGGTTCCTGGAGAGCATCATTCCAAGCGAAGAAGGCCAGCAAACAAACAAGCTGCAGGAAACAGCAGCTGCAGGAAACAGCAGCTGAGCCGATGGCGGTTCTTGGACACGTCATAAACAGCGTGGGACGAGATGAAAACCTCGACTGGGGCACTGTGGTTGTGCTTTGCCCTCATTGGCACCCAAGCTGGCGCCCACGCATAAAACAGAACCCGGTCTCGGAAGACCTCAATGGCCTGCCAAGTGGAGCACGCAGCTTTGGCTCCAGTAATTCCAGCTTAGTTGCGAATACTTCCTTCCTCAGCCAGAATTCAGCTTGCACGCCATGCATGGCCACACACCACCATCCTGCTTCATTTCGTCCAGAGTGCGAGTTGAGAAGTCTACCACGGCATCGAAGGATACCTGAAAGAACATACCATTGACATCGCGAAGCGACCGAAAAATCTTTCCTGAGACATGTGCATCTGACTTGACGAGATCCGTGCAGTTCACCAGCCCAGACGACCTTGGAAGCTTCACAGTGAATTGCCATGCCCCCTCGAAATGAGCACGGTATTTGTCCCTTGGCAGCGGTCTTTGGAAGCACTCCTCCGCCGTGCTCCCTGGAAAGCCTTGACAAAGCCATCTCAACTGCAAAGGAAACTCTGGTTGAGGACGGCATGACTAGGCCATGCACGTGCGATTGCATCTCCAGTGGGTCACATGGGGTGCGATGCGATCGAAGACGTCCCAGTACCTCACCGGATCCTCTGTAAAAAACTTCCTTGGCAAGAGCTGTTGGAGCTGTCCCTCTGGTTCCCATCGACGTGATATGCTACTGCTTGACTGCCATCAGGATCGAGAGACTCTCGGCAGATCTCGGTGGGTCACTTGGCGCCTCTGCTGACAACCGTTACCTGCGGCTGCAACATCCAGGCGCTTCATCCACACGCCAGCTTCACGATGAGAAAAAAAGTGCTTGTACGCGTTACACCCGAGCTGTACTTACTGGCCGCCTATTCACCAATCCCGGGAGTGGGTCACATTTTGGCTGGTCAAGGATGACGTGAACTTAGCGCCACGCATTGTGGCCCTCACGCACCAAGCGCTCGGTCGTGTAGTGACCACGAAAACCTGTGCCTCCTGGCTTGAACATCGAAGCTGCTATTCTTTAGCATGATCAACGAACTGCACGTGCCAGGAACTCGCTCAAGTTGTGCAACTCTCTGTTCTATTTCACTTGCAGGGGGCCTAGCACAAGCACCGACCTCAGCTCCCAAGAGATACGACAACACTTGCTATTTTCCAACGCAGACCCAAAGGGAACACGAAGCTTGGCTGCTGGCCATCCACTAACACCTTCGCAAGCCGAAGTGATTTATATACTTGAGGCAACATTTGCTTGCACAGTTCTGCTCCGATTCCGGCAACCGCCACGTTCTGAAGATCGGCTAATTTCGGTTTTGGCCCGTTGTCGTGTGCGGCAGTCCGTCGAGACCCTGTCAAATCGCGGCCCAAGGGCAGCACTGGCGAATTTCAAGCATTGCCAGGTGGACCCCACGGCTTCACGCTGAAGAAGAACATACAGTAGGGTTACCGGTTCCATGCCCGAAGTGCCAATCTGCTGCGCAGCAGGATGCGAATGGCAAAAGGGAAGGCATGAAGTTCGGAAGCTCGAACAAGAGCTTTTCAGCCAGTGACGGCTTGCCTGATTGCCCTCGGTTCTTCGTGCGCAAGGTGTTGCAGTCCAGCATAGCCGCCGTCACGTGTCTTCTGCCTTGGCCTCAGGCCTTAGCCTACATGACGTGATCAGTTCCGGAGCTCCACACCAACACAAGAAAAAAAACAAAGACAAGCTAAGCCTGGAAGACTCGCACGACGTCTCTCTGTGCACCTTCCAGCCTGGCCTCGGGGTGCCAGCGCCAGCAGCCCCAACAGAACGACCTGGGCCCAGCCAAAGCTGTGTCCATGTGACCCTTCGCCCTCACAGGCCAGTCCTAAACTGACCGGTCTGCCGAGCTTCTTGCATGGATGCAGCGGTGTTGACTGATACGAAGCTGCCTCAGGAGTTCTGAAGGGGTCCTATGCCAGCCCGAAACACCGCTCAGCGCTGCATTGGGCCGCGGCTGCTCCAAGGGATGCATGTCTGCATAGTGCAACCATCGAGCAATACCCCAATGTCGTTCACTGTGCAGGCATTACTCTGAGATCTTGACGGGGCACTATGTGACGTGAAGCGGTGTTGGTCCCGCATCATTCTTAATAGCGCATAACCGTGTCATGCAAGCACACGCAATTCTGCGTTCAGTCGGAACAGCAACGAGACCCTGAACCATGCAACTTGCTTTGGAGAGACCCCTGATTCTTGCACAAAACAGCTCCGCAAGAGCACTTTGTCTTAAAGTTCTGTCTCGGCGTCGCAGGTCTTGAGGTGCTCCTTTGCCTGGGTGTGCTCGGCGCAGACTTCCTGGTACACGGCGGTGGCGGCGTGATCTCTTCCCTGCAATGCCGCTTGCATCTGCAGGCAGCCCAAGGATGGCCCGGCAATCACACGAGGTCGCCTCACCCTTCCCGACAAGCACTGGAACGCATCTATTCCGAGCGGTCGGTGAACACGACATCAGAGCGAAGCACATATTTCACTCCCCCACTCACGGGAAGAGACTCATGTAGCAGGCATTCCTTGGCGAACCGGCGGGGCTTGCACATTCAGAAGTTAGAACAACCGAACCGGATGACATCACGGAAGTGCAAGTAGTTTAAGTAGGCCGAGAGGCGGAGCCATGCCGATGAACCAATGCCTGCCCTGTGACTGGACGAACTCGCAAAGCTTCGGCTCCACTGGCATAGAAGACGGTCTCTCCTCCAACCAGGTCGTGCTCCTCGCCGCTCAGGTATATCAGGAGGGTGAACTCCGTCTTGCCCCTGGCCGTCTGGTTGCTGCCATCTACATGCTTTCCAAACACATCTCCGCCAGAATACTTGTAGATGCGAATGTTCTCGTTCAAGCCTGCGTTGGACTCTATCTCTCACATCAGCGAAGCCTCTCAAAACACGCATGCTGAGCAGAGCCTGCAGGCCGACGACGGCCCACGCGCAAGGTTGAGAGGGCTGCATGCAAGCCTTGAACATGGCGAGAATTCGCTTGAGAGACTCGGAGAGGTGCCAAAGACTTCGGCCTCCATTCCAAAGCGCATCGGCAAACTGCGGGTCCTCGAAGGAGATTCGAGAATGATGCCTCACGCGGCCAGCACTGAGGTCGAAAAGTCAAGTGATGCCTCTGCCTCGTGCTGCTCTTAAGCAAATCACAAAACTCGGCCGGTTCTGCTGCCTTTGCTGCCCAGGCACCGGGGAGCCTCGCCGAAGGCCGGACCACGGCTGGTCTGCAACTCGAAGCCGGACTCCTCCGCTTTGGCGATCAGGCTGGCTGCCTCATCCGCGTCGAGAACACCGGGAACCAGGAAAATGTTCGGAATCCTCGCAAAGCAAGCCAGAAGCTCACTCTGGTCCGACACCTACCACGTTGACAACACTGCAGATGGTCCTCGTCTCTTGCGTCTGTAACTCTTTTTGTCTCGGCGCTGCTGCCTGCAAGCAGAACTAATGGAGCACAGCGCTCCAACATAGGTTTCGCGACCTCGAATTTGCGCCCGGGCTCCGGAGGTCGACCGCCCCAGCGCATGCGCCGGGCCTCCCAAGCTCACCCGTCTGGACAGCTCTGGCCTGCAGCAACCAAGCCTTGGAGATATGGCGCAGGACCCAACGAGAGGAAAGCAAGCGCCGACGCATGACAAAGCTCGAGCCGCGCAGTGGTACATCCATGCCAAAAGTGTCCTCAAAAGCCCTTAAAACATCTGAAGACCCCAAATCTCTGCACTGAGACCTTTTTGTGCAGGAGCGACAAGCTCGGAAGGAGCAGATTTTACATGGCTCGGTGTTCAGACACCAGGCATGGAAGAGCTAAAACAAAATTCAAGTCATCCTCACCTGCTGTCACAGACTGCCAGGGCGGGCAAGATTCACTTACAGACCCTGCTCAAACTCCGGCAAGCTGACTTTGCTCCACGATGTGTTCGGTGAGCTCACGCAACGTCGGGTAGTCGAAGAGAACCGTCGCTGTGTCAACCATAAAAGGGAACGAGGAAGCAATCAGATTCTGCAAGTCGATTGCCGACAAGCTGTCCAAGCCAAGGTCCATGAGCGGAGATTCGGCATCAACATGCCTTGCAACTGCTATTAGGGACAAGTCTTGCAATTACTTGTCCACTGCACATTGAGAAATTGCCTATCTCGCTGTTGTTTGACAGGCCCTAATGCGGCAGGCAGGTTGTTCGACCCAAGATCCTTCCAAATCTCAGAGAGCGGCTGCTCCTCTGTGAGGACGTTTTGCACGTGTGTTGCCAGCTTGTGTTTGACCAACTCGCGGTCGATGCCGTGCGACCGAACAACTTTAGCCGCATCGTCTGGCCTCACGGTGGACAGCCCGGGAGGCAACCGTTTCGGGGTCGAGGCTCTACTTCCACGTCTCCGACAACCGAAGATCGGATCCCCAAGGCGCACCTGGATGCTCTCGTTTCGTATCCAGGTTCCGGCTCGTAGTCACCGTAGTCCTCGCAAGTGGAGTTCAACAAGCCCGTTCATCTATCTGCACGCTTCTAGCCATGATGTTTGTTGTGCCTCGTCTGGTTGCCGGATCCGCTGCATCTCTTCTCCTCGTCTCGATGTCGCACTAAAAACAACTCAAGCCTCGAACCTGCAGTCAGGTCACGCGCCATCTTTTCTCCAGATGAGTTTCCAGTTTCAGCTGCATTCTGTATCGCCTTGACGGCCCCAAAACTTGTGACTCCGGACAACCGGCAAGGAAACTTCCCTTCTTCGCCTTTGCCCTACAATGCGCTTGCCCTGTACTTCACGAAGTGGATGTTCCTGGACCTTCCTGGTGTATTTGCTTTAGGTCTGCATCAAGGCCACTCGCTCCACGCACTGTATCGCTTCGTCCAGGCGTCCCAACGCCTGCACGGCTTCTCTCAGCATTCTTCCGAGAGCCTACGGTAAAGCTTGGCCGGATACGACAACTAACGCAGCAGCCTTCGCAAGACGCCCCTGCAGGAGGAGACAGCGCAAAGTGCCTGCCAAGCACACAGCCCCTCTCTCTGTCCCTGGCTAGGGTGACGTGCACTAGGGAGGATGCCCGACACATGTATTCGAAGCCCTGTTCCTGCAAATGCGAGCTGCGAGTCAGGCCTCCATTGTCCTTGCTTCTCTTGATCTGATTGAAGAGGGCTTCGGCTTCGTAGGCTGCCGTCCTTGCACGCTGCTCAACCCACTAGTCAACTAGTCACGAGACAACAACGGGGACACGAAGTCCCCCGAATGGAGCCAGCAGCTTGAGAGACCAAGATTCAGAGCTTGCTGATGCCGACCCACACAGATGAGAGCTTCGGCCTGCCAATATTTCGCAGCACCTGAGGCCAAAAGCGGGTGTCTAAAAGTTCCGACGTTCTCTGCTCTCAGCAGCCAAGAGCACTCTTGTACTCGATGCTCGCAGCATCCCGACAGGCCAACGACCAGCCCTGGGCGGCTTCGGCACTCCGCTTCTCGCTGTCGGGCTTACAAAAAGGCCGTCAAGGAACCTGCTCGGCATATTGCAGTGCTTTGCCAGCAAAGCTGCCTTGCCCGGGTGTTTCCGAGAGCCGCACGATGTTCACCTTCGGCGGACACGACGAACCACTGAATGCTTGCAGACAGAGCCGGGTCAGTTACCCACCTGCACCAGCTGAGAAAGTGCTGCAAGCTCCAAGTCAACCAAACTCTCGTTGAGTTTTGCCAAGCGCAGCCTGGGATTCTGAAGCTGGGTGAGATTATCAGATTTGCAACAGTGGAAAAGGCGGAAGGCTGAAATGGGTTCCTTCTACATGTGCTTATTGCTTGCCGGGGTGCATTTCAGTGGCGGCTTTGTCGGCCTCTGGGACATTCTTCTGGACAAGCATGAGGCTGCAGAGCATGTCAAGCGCCTCAACCTGTTCCTGAGAATCAAGGCGCTATGTCGCTATGTTCATGGGTGGCGGGTGGTGGTGGCGAACTCGAACGCTTCGGATGACACTGCGCTACTTTGCTGCCAAGCCTCCTTCACACTGCCACTGTTGCGCTGCACGA